ACAGCATTACGATACACAAACACCACAATATCAACCAACAGAGTAACAACTTAACTAACCACCCTTTCTCTACTGACACTAGAAACTCTACACGATACAACTTCCATAACTTAGACAATAACTTCCCTAAATTCTCAATAATACAAAATTTTATAACTATTTTGTAGCTCAGGAGACAAGAATATGACAACCCATCCACTGAGAGGCATAAGTGTAAGTTAGATTGTATTCTTCAACGTGACCAAGAACCGCAATTTTTTCCTGAGCCTTACCAATATCTTTCACTCGGCTACAAGAAGGTCGGGGTTCACTACTGCACCTTATACATAAAACTCTCTGCAGGCGGTTCTATTCAAGGCGGGAAGCAGGGCATCACTTCCTGACGTGCAGTTCCTGGAAGTGTCTCAAAGAAATTCTCAGGCCGTAAAGGATCCCGTCAGACCAAATCAGTTATGTGACTCTGACATCACCATAAACCTTCACAAAATTTTGACGACTCACACCGTAACCAAACCAAACCAAACCAAACCAAACCAACCCTAACCTAACCTAACCTTTACGCATAGGAAACATAAAACAAGGCATTTTAGTTGCCCGCTTCGCTGTACAAGAATAAATATCGTTCTTTCGCTTAACGTTACTTTTCAAACACAGAAAACTACTCCCACGACTTGAGAAACCTTTTCAAGCCGTGACAAACTTTCTTAGATATTGACAAACTTTCTCAAGTCGTAACCCCTCCCCTCCCCCTCCCCCCACAGCAATAAGTAACATTCCTCACACTTTAAGAAACCTTCCCACAACAATAAGAAACCTCCCCCCACAGCAAGAAACCTCTTTCTCCTACAACAAGAAACCTTCCCCCATATTAAGAACCCTCCCCCACAATAAGAATCCACTTCCCACAATAAGAAACCTCCCCCCACAGCAAGAAACCTCTTCCCCCCACAATAAAAACCCACACCCCACAATAAGAAACCTTCCCCCACACATAAAAAACCTTCTACCCACAATAAGAACCCACGGCCTCCACGGTAAGAGAAGTTCCCGAGGTCAGTGACAAACTCAGCCTCACCGACAGGAGTTCTTGAGCCATGTCATGTTTATACGATCATCGGGCTGGCCTATGTGTCCGGGGCGTCTCTGGTCGTAGTCACATTCACGGTTTTACGGGATCACTAAACTCACAAGACTTACATTCTCTTCCTTCTCATCCTCCCCCTAAGCCCCCGCCTCTTCTCCCCCCCCCCTCCTCCTCTTAACCCCCCACCTCCTCCTAGGCTCCCTCCTCCTTCTCCTACTCCTCCTCCTCAATCGTTTCCCTCAGGAATTGTCGTCTTTGTCGGTCTCTTGTCAATGGTTCGCGGATTTCTCTTCTCTCTATTCCTATTTTCAACTCTCACTTCTTCTCACACTATGCTACGACATACTGGTTTATTCTCGTTATTTACATCTCCTAGCACACACACACACACACACACACACACACACACACACTAACAAACACAAAATGTGGAAGTATTATACATGACTGATTCTTCCCGTAGTGACCACCAGTAAAAGCCTAGACTTAAATACGAGAGGTTTCCAACTTAACACTTCGTCTGTGTGGATTAGATTTCGATCATTGTTTCTCAAGTTGGTCTCCTTACGTGGTTCAGAAACGGAGTTAGGTGATTGTAATTCCGAACAACTGAACCATAGATCTTGCGGTCGATTGTCATCATTAAAAGGTAATATAATGAAGTGGGCAGATTGATCGACATCGACAGTGAAACATACAACGTAAAAATGTATAATTATCTGTGTAAAGATCCCCATTGTCTCATTCACCTTCAGATGAATATTATACACTCGAACGGCAAAGGAGAGAAAGATGTATTTAACTTAATAATTCCCGTAAACTGATCAGGTAACTGACCTTATCCAGATGATGTACCGACAGATGATTGGAGACTGACAACATCGGCGTCAAGATGCTCACCGTTGCCACAACTAGAGCAGTGTCTCCACTTTATACAACATCCACAACAGTTTACCTGAAACCACAACCAATAACTATTAACACAGGAATGATTGAATATTATTACAACTGTACACTTACATAACTCACCTAGACTTTAAATTGGTTTCGTTCCTTCAACATCATAAATTCTCTTAAATAACTGAATAAGAGAACAAACAGAAGAGAATAACAACAACTACATGGTTTATCCCACAACAATTTTAACTAACAGTCGTTCAGTAGCAAACTGCCTCAGTCTTACTGGGGATATTTTAGTATCATGATATTTTTACAAGACATCCAGAGTTCAATTTGAGTACGACCTGAAAACCAGAAGAGTTACACTGTAGTACATACAAGGACGCCCAGCTCTGTGTATGTGTATTTGTAAACGTGTGTATGTGTGCGGCAGCGTAGTCACCATTATAATCAAACATCTAGAATGAAGGCTAAGACGTCCTCAGGTACCGTAACAAAATTCAGTAAGGAACAGGAGCAGGTCTTGTATAATCTGTGTAATAGTATCAAGACTTCCTTCCAATATGGCGGCGTGATGTAATACTTCCCAACACCTTTTCATATTTCCGTCCTTATTGGCATTATGGCCGCGTCCTTCCAATAACTCGGTGCTTCACTGGGAAAAATTGATGCGGTGTTACGTGCCAAGCGTAGGGAGGGTAGCGGCGACCATAGCTCAGGCAGGGGCGGCTCATCTTGGGTCGTGAATACTGCTGGAGGAAAGGAACGCGAACTACGCCCTCCGACTCCCCTTGGTGAGCTGTACCTGGGTCGTCGATTACTTCATTACTAACAGACAAGCTATGATAAGTTAAGCGATGTTAGTTCACAGATACAAAGTGATATAATACTAACATATCTCGTACTATCACACGTCGCGAGTTTCACCGATGTAACGTACAATTTTTACTGTGAGAACTTAACTGGACCTGGTTGCCGTAACATTTAGGTCAACTTGAGTAAGATTTAGTGAGTTTAAGTTAGACTATCTTCAATATTCTAATGAACATACTTAATGTGGCATCTCAGCTCACTGACAAAGCCTCCTAGGTCATAAACGTCTGTACCTAATCCAGTCTTGCTCACAAATTAAACCTTTTCGCTGTTAATAACCAACGCTGGGAGTATCATATTGTGACAAGAGGCAGTAGGTGGGTGTGTACAGTACGTGGAGTAAGTCTTTGCTATATTACTCCTCCGTTGTGGAGTAGTTAGAGAAAAACTAACAGCTAATATGCGGATCGTGTGAGTCATTTATCACGGGTAAGTGATGGATAACACTCTCGCGCCGTCCCAACTGACACACATAAATCTCAACTCCTAAAAACTGCCGGTGAAACTTCCTTCTTTTTCTGAAAACAACGGAGGCATTTATTCTTGTATACCAAAAAGACTGAGAGATGATAGTGAGGGGTAGGAGATGAGGAAGAGAGGGCGAGATAAGAGGAGACACGACAGGGTGAGCAGGTTGAGTGGTACTATCTCCTTCAGGTGTAGAGACTGGAGACAGTGAGATACGGTATAGGACAATATCGAGTTGTTGGACTCTTTAAGGCCCCCTACAAGCTGTACACTTTAGGCACTGTTATAATGTACCTCCTATCATGTTTGAAATAAAATGTTTAATAACAAACCTCAACTAGGCTAGAGTTACAAACACACACACACCCACCCACACACACCTACTCCCACACACACCTACTCCCACACACACCTACTCCCACACACACACACACCTACTCCCACACACGTCATTATCTATTTGTGCTGGTGTGCTGTGGTCAAGGAACATGTGGTCTAGCGACGAGCCAGTCTAAATGATGCGGACCGGTGCACCCTCACATAACAAGGATCCGGCACGATTTTGGTATGTGGAGGGTAGAGTAGTCACGAGGAGCTGTGTTGGACACTAACAGGGAAGGTAAATAGTGAAGCCTACAAGAGGAACATCAAAGACAGTGGTGGTGGAAAGTGGGAGAGGTTGGGAGGAGTGTATAGTAGTCACGAGGAGCTGTGTTGGACACTAACAGGGAAGGTAAATAGTGAAGCCTACAAGAGGAACATCAAAGACAGTGGTGGTGGAAAGTGGAGGTAGATGTTATGATTGGGTGAGGGCCAGAAGACATCAGCATAGATATGTATAAGAGATGAAATGGAAAAAAAGAGTCGATCTGATTTTATTCAACGCGGGACAGGTAGGATGATGAAAGGTATTTTATTTCAGTGATTAATATGAATGGTTCGTGATTCACTATAAAATGTTATAACAAAAGCCTCACCATACATTATTCATCAACATACTACATCTTTTAGACAGTTTCTACAGTTTCCTTCTACTTTTTTCCTCTGTAGCTGCCTACCTTTCCTCCCTCCCTCCAGCTGGGCTCTACATCATCTTAATATTCTTCTCGCCGGAGCACAAGATGACTAAACTGCTGACGACGTGCGTGGGGCCGAGCCTATATTTTGTCGACGGTGCATTGTAATAAATTTTTGCTTTGTAATGTATCAAGGAGAAGAGAATTATTGATCAGGTGAGTCGTGACGTTGTGGCTCTGGGGGTAAGACTCGCACTCAAACATTTTTATTTCCTGCCTCCTTGCAATCAGTCTTGGCTTAATATCTCACAGATCATGAAGTGTTCTTGTGTTTCATCTTTTAATGTTTGTTCTTTATTTTTCATCGTTCTGCTTCGGTTGTAAATGTTTCTCATAGTTCCTCCCTGACTCTCTAGCTCTGCAGTGTACGCTACTAACACTCTTCAATGGCAAACTGTTTAAACCACTTCTTACAATATCGTGAAATATTATTCCTCTTGCTACTCCTTATTAATAAATCCCTTTTGGAGGGTTTATTTTATGTCTGCCAGGTAAGTTGTAAAGTGAAAAAATAAATTTATAATAAATCGTTATTTTTCCTTATCTGTGATCTTAATATTACGACATGTGTAGTAACGCAAGTCTCCCACCGCCACCAGGATAGGACCCATCAGCGAGGACTGACGAGGCGAGGTCCGGGCCAGGGTAACGGGGCGCTGCCTGCCAAGGTGATCGTCACGGCCAGTGTGAGGCGCGGGCCACTCCTGGACGACACGCTGGCCCTCGACCGGAGTGAGTATCCAGTTGAGTGTACCACACGCACACACACACACACACACACACACACACACACACACACACACACACACGTTCAATGATCCGAAGGTACTTTTTCAGTTATACTATGTCAACATGCAGTCCTTAAGGTTATATAAAAAAAAATTAATTTTTCTGACGATATATCACTAATATTATACTTTCCTATTTGTAAAGTTGAGATAATACAACATCATCAAATTCTTATAAACGCTGTGAGAATGTCTTATGGAAGTCAATCATGCTAAAGTTTACTAGTCTCCTTGTCTCTCTCGTTGTCTAGTTCTGCTCAGAATGTTCCCACACCAAGCTTCACCACAACCTAGTGCCTGCATGACGCCTCACTCACACACCACCACCACAACTACTCAACACCTCACGCCAAGGCTCACGAACTAAGCCCAAAATGTGAGGTTTACATCCACGTTAAGATAATCATTTCACTGTTGACGGGAAGTTACTCTTAATATAAACGACAGCTGATCCATCACTGAAAATCTCCTGTACGCTTCGGTGAGTTTCGGAATCAAATGAATTGTTAAATCTTATCTCCGTCACTGTGAGAACGTTAGTCGATCTGTTTGTTTATTACAGACGGGGAATATTTTTCCTGCAGAATAATGGTATTGTTCCTGAGGTCGTATGATACATCCTGGATTCGCCGTTCACTCAGAGGGTAACAGTAACGAAGGGGAGGGGGGGGATGAATTTAATTGAATTGAATTGAAACATTTTATTTAGCCAGAAAAACCCATATACAGAGTGGATAATAATAACAATATTAACATGGCTGAGCCAGTTGAGAACCTGAGCTCTCCTGTAGGCACCTGATATATACTATACATTTATCTCAAGTAAGTATTATGTAACATTTAGTATCATCTGGAATAGTACGATAGCATGGTGGTAATAAGAACATCTCAGAATGTTACCATGGTTATCAATTCAATATTTATTTATTTATTTATTTATATATATTTTTTAATTTATATTATAAGTATTATACATAAATTACAGTGGAATTGAAAAACATAAATATAATGGGGGAGCAGTACAACATGGGTTGCACAGTAATAAGGTTGAACAAGAAGACAGAGCTGACAGGATTATGTCTAGTTGGCAAATATATTTATTGCAATAGTAATTTCTTATCTATTTACATGATAATTTCTGATAAAACGGTTTTGATGTTACAATAAGAGCAGGTATATATAGTAGGTAATACAAGAAATATTAATACTTAGACAATAGATATTTTTTTAGAGATGATTTAAAGGAAGGGAGCGTAGTCTTTGCTCGGATGGGTGGGGGTAAGTTGTTCCACACATTCACACCATGATATTTTATGGAGGTCTGGGACTGAGAGGAGCGCATGGGTGGTCTTAGTAGCTCTGGGTGCCTTAAGTTGTATCTCTGATTATTCGGAACTGGAAAAATTATTGTCAAACAAGTGATTGCTAGATTTGTAAAAAAAAAAAAAGAGGGCACACCAGTAGGTGTTAATATCTTCGAATTTTAACATTTTCAATTTCGCAAATTTTTTGTTTGTGTGATATTTTTTTTCAAGTAGGTCATTGTCTGTACAACTCTCTTTTGTGCAGTAACCAGGGATTGTGTTTTTGAAGAGCCAGAGGCTTACAAGTGTACTGATCAAAACATTCACACACACACAGGAGGGAAGAGAGAACAGGGATTAAAATCAGTCAAGCTCAAACGTACTTTAATCAACAGCATATGACGTGACCTTGCTTAAGAGTGAATTCTGGTATGTATGTATGTATATGTGTATGTATGTATGTATTTATGTATGTATGTATGTATGGACGAGTATGTATGTATGTTTTGGATGTATGTAAATGAGTGTGTATGTAATACTACTACTACTACTACTAATAATAATAATAATAAAACTAATAATAATAATAATAATAATAATAATAATAATAAAAATAATAATTAACGGCTTATTAAAAGAGCATGGCAGCCGGAAGGCTGAAAATATACAGTTACATAATTGGGGAATGGGTCTCTTGATTTACAAATAATATACAAGTAACATAAGTGATACAAATATGATATATAATTACTAGGTGGGGAGAAGCTCAAACTACAGGGCATTTCAACATACTGACAGTCCAAAAAGTAAGATTAACCTTGGAGTGAATACACTGGTTGATTCCAAGTTATTAATATTTTTTACAATGGTTGGGACTGGGCTATTCTTATAGAGATCAGTTCGTGCTCGTATGGGCTGGATGCGGTTGTGGTGTCGAACAGCAATTCTCGGACGAGGGATCTCGGGTGTTAGTAGGAGCCGGTGTCGAGGATGGTGCAGAAGCGTCTCACCAAATTTGCAGATGAGGTCTTGGTGATGGTCAGTGAGGGCCGAGAGGGTCAGTGTGTTGAGCGCTTTTTACTATGTAGAGTAGGAAGGGGATAGAAAAATCTTGCATGCCCTGTTTTGCACTTTTTCTAGGTGTTTACGTTGTGTGGCATTTACGGAGGAAGACCAGGGAGGGGAGGCAAAGGTGATCTTGGGAAGTACATATGTATGTATTATATGTCCAGTCGACGAAGTACTGTACGAGAGAGGAAAGCGTATAAGCACACGACCCACAGCCTCATAACCATAACAGCGCTATCCCCTCTCCCCTCCCTTTAGCGCTCGCTCGCGATAAGACGCCTCATCTGCACACGTGCTCACCAAATTACGTTGAGTCATCCCTCCCCATTCCTAATCATTCCGACCGTTCCTGCCATTCCTAAAGTTGGGACTCCCCCCCCCCCTTTACCTCACCACCCACCCAGTTGCCCCCCCATGCCCCAGGAGTTATATACACATGGGTGGTTTCATTTACGCTCACAGCCGCAATAACCTTAATCAATCACTCAACCCAGGGTTATTGGACGCCTGTGTCTCCCTACCTCCCTCCCTCCGTCTTTATCCCTCCTTCCCTCCATCCCTCCCTCCCTCCTTTCTTCCCCTGTCATGGGATAACTGTACCACACAAGTTGCCTCTATGGACACAGGATGGTACGATGTTCTCTTTATTGTTCATGACTGGTATAATTATAACCTTCACCTTCAACTCTTGCGTGCCTGCGTGTGTGTGTGTGTGTGTGTGTGTGTGTGTGTGTGTGTGTGTGTCGGCACGTTGGATGTGTTGGTAACGATGAACGGGTCGATACTTGGAATGAGTCAGCAGGTGTAAGATGTCTCGGTTCATAGAATATATTTATCCGGGAGAGTTCCAACACGTGGGATGTTTCGACACCAAGAAAATATATCCGTATGTGTGATATGAAACAACCTAGACACTAATGGCATTACCTGTCCGTAAATGAGCGAAGCAGAGTGAGGCACAGGTAGGCACAGGTAAGCACAGGTTTGCAGCAGCGGCGACTCGGTACACCCCAGGTAACAATCCCGTGTAATTAGTGTGTGATAATAGATTGTAAACAGTGACTGAACACCCTTATAACAACACCATAGAGACTTAAGAACATAAGAACATAAGAAAATTAGGAGTCTGCACCTCACACCTCAGCCTCATACCACCACCTATCCCAGGCAACCAACTAAGAAGCTTTAACTACTACTAAGCTTCCTCTTAAAGAAGCTTTCCTACAGAATCTCTTAGATGCGTTATAAGCTTTATCTCTAGGGCATCTTACTGTCTCGAGTTGTTACCCCTAGAGAGTCTTAGCTCATATTAGAGTAGTTATAGCGTGTTCGAGTGAGTCTTGTTCACGGGGACTTCATCACCTCTAATCACCTCTACCTACCATCACCTCCACCTTCCCATCAACTCTACCTCCCATTAACTCTACCTCCCACCACCTCTACCTCCCACACTCACCACCTCCCACATCCTCCACCTCCCACACCCTCTACCTCCCACCACCTCTACCTCCCACACTCACCACCTCCCACACCCTCCACCTCCCGCACCCTCCACCTGCTGTCTCACACAAAAGAATTTACCTCCTTAACTCAATAAACAAATTTACCTGATTTACTTAACGTTTTTTTATATAGAGCGGTGCAAGGCATAGGATCCGCAGCCGAAGTATACAGTACACGACTACTGTATACGAAAGATATAAGTAAACGTCCTAATAAAAGAGAGAGAGAGAGAGAGAGAGAGAGAGAGAGAGAGAGAGAGAGAGAGAGAGTCATTAAAAAACCCTTAAATTTCAACATTCCTCCTGCAGCGGCCTGACGAGGTGAAGATCGGGCGTGATCTCCCGAGCGTTAACGAGAGCTTCCGCATTTTACGGAAATGAGTAAATCACTGGAACGCGAGATCTTGAAAGCCAGCACCACCCAGCATAGCCCTCCCAGTGCCGCTAATTGTGACGTTCTTCTTCAGGAGTTCATGATTAAAAACCTTACTACTGATGTGGTATAACCCAGTACTGGTGGTGTGGTCTGAGGTGTGGTGGACGGGGGGAAGGGTAGGAAGAGACTCAGGTATAGACTCAAGGGGCAGCGGCGGAGGCTTCTATATCTACCTATAACTATAACGACTGAGACTTATAAACTATAATATCACAACACTTTAATTTGATCATAAAATCATGAAAAATAATATAACAGACAAGAGAAGAAATCCATCATCCTCCATTGGTTCAAGTCACTGCACTTTGTTTACACACTGGGAGGAGTAGAGCAAGTGAGCGTTCGGTCGCCTCCTCACCTCAAAGAATGGTAACTATGTACTGTAAATTCACTCTTCCTTACCAAAAGAGAAGTTACTGAACGAATGGTTTATGTTGTATAAAATCAAATACAAAGGAAAATCATTCTTGCTGAAGACATCTACAAAAAGAAAGAAGGAAAATAGTTTATCGGTAGAATTCTGAGTCTCAAGATATTCATTACTTCAAACATTCGCTCGAGTCTACCTGACCAACGAGTGGAATAGAGAGCTTCATCATTTTACCTTAATGAAGCAGCTACGAAACTCTTCAGA